CCACTGTTGCTAACTTCAGCGCGTGACTAAAACGCCATAAATTCACAGCTTGTCAATGTGAATTTAAAATCTTAATTAAATTAAATTAAATTGTTTGCGACGCCCCCTAAAAAGCTGTTTTCATGAAAAAACACTGGGAAATTATTTTTTTTAATTAAAAACAACACGTGCCTCAAGACGATTTAAGTTAGTTATACGTATGATCATGTCTTTTCTGAAAATATGGAACAATAATTCACAACTTTGAGTGAAGAAATCTAGATATTAAAATTACGTTTGTACTAATTTAGTTTTAAAATAAAAATATTAATTTAAATATCTTTAATTTTTTTATTTAATAGACTGGGAAAAATTTTGAATTTAAATTTTTGTCTATTGTTATTTCGATTAACTATTGGTTTTTTATTGATTTGGGTTCTATAATTGTTTCATAAAAAATTCCCAAAAAACATGATTATACCAAAAAATTAATTTAGATCGTCTTGAGGCACGTGTTGTTTTAATTAAAAAAAATGTCTAGTGTTTTAGTTATAGTTATGTTACTCTTCGGCCCATAAAATTTTCCATCTCTATTTATCTATGCATCTCTATCCCTATATAAACGGTTCATAAAGCTTTAAGCAAAAAAATCCGTCGACGTTTTTTATTTAGTTTAAATAAAAAATAAAAAGTCATAACAAAGTATAAAAAAAGAAAATTAAAATATTAATCAAAATTTTATTAAAATTCCGTCAAATTTCGTCCTGTACCTGTCCCATTTCCGCCCTGTCCCAAAACAAACCAAATTTCATTATATACTTTAAAAATGGCGAATGCGCCGGGATTAAAACTGAATGTCCCTCCCTAATTACCCCTTTAGGAAATGAATTTCAAAAAATCCTTCTCTGGTGGTTATCCATGTCATTATAGAAATGCACCATCAAAATTTCAGTCCCTTAGGTCCATCGATTTGGTTGATAAATCAGGACGTGATTTTACGAAAAAATATCGAACCAATTACAGTTATCTCTATCTTTGGCCCATAAATCAACCTTACAAAAAAATCATTCAAATTAAAAAAGCAGAAAAAGTAATGACAAAAAAGTTAAGAAGAAATAGATAAAAAAGTAAAATAAATAAATTAAAAAAGCACACGGCTATTTAATTAAATTTATGTTTTTATGCTAACCCATTAAACTGATATTTAAATTAAACGTTAGGGCAGTTTATAATTATTCTATTTTGTTTAAATTTTGGCGGTTTTCAATAACAGAAAATATTAATAATTCAAATAATTTAAATGTGCGGATTTTAATAACACGATATTAAATAAATTAAATGTAAGGGCAGTTTTTAATAATTACTATGGGCAGTTTTTAATTACACGAAACATTTTAATCTTTTGAGCTTTTCAGCTTTCCTAAGCTGCATTAACTTGCATGAAAATAGTGATAAACAGCATTTGCGCGCGACATACATGTCAAATGAAATTATCATTTATAAAAATTTTGACACTTAAGGTTAAGCTGACATTTGGTATTACCAACTGATAACTAAGTACTAGAAGTGTCAATCCCGAGCCCATTTTCCAATCCCGGGCCTTTCGGGACCAAAGTTAACCAATCCCGGGATCCCGGGATCAGTCCCGAAAAAATATATATCATTAATTTTAAAACCAATTTAAAATAAAACAACAAACAAACTAACGAACGATATCTTTTGGACTTCACACTAGTCGGAAGAATGGTTTTCAAGAATTCGTAGGCACATTGTACCCACGTTTACCCCCATTAACAAATAATTCCATTTCTTTTATCAATCGGGCCTTGGTGAGTTCCAATTGGGGCTGTAACTTACATTGAAATTATCAAGTTTTTGCCATTTTATCAGGTTTGACGATGTTATATTATAGGTTATGTACATAAATTTATTCTACAGTGACCTGTAATTTTACATTTTCTTTGCTGATTTTATGCTATAGATAGAACCACTCTTGCTATGTAATTTCAACGTATTTTCATTATTGTACGGCGGTGTATAATAATTTGACTTGAACTGAGTAAAAAAATGAAGTGTTTATATATATGCTTATGAGTATATGAAAAATGTCATACGCTTAAAAAAGTCTATTTTATTCCTTGTAACTTATTACTAAGATCCCGGGATTGGGACTTTTAATCCCGGGATTTTCGGGATCGGATTTTTTAGGGGATCCCGAGACCCCGGGATTTCGGGATCTTGGGATTGACACCACTACTACGTACCTTAATATTATATCTATATTACCAAACTTATATATTTTTTAAATTTTAGGTTATAATGTTTCTTTTATCCACTCATCTAGTAGTATCTAGTGCTACCGTTAAACTTAAAACTGTAAAAAAGCTACTAAAGATTTTCGAACAAGGAAAGGATACTAAGGAAGTAGTCTCAAATGTAATTAACTATGACTACGGAACTCCTCACGCAGCTTCTGCAAATCACCATTTTACACACATAGGTCATCATCATGGACTGCACTATGGGAGCCACCCATATGGTAAGTTTATTTTTAAATACAGTGTGCATTTATTAATGTCAGTATTAGTATCAGAATATAAAAAGAATAAATATAATTTAAACTAACCAATTCGGAAAATATGTAGAAATGTTTCAACCTAAAGTAAAATTTAAAACAGGATACGGTCATCTTTATGGACATCATGGTCACCATCATAGTCATCACGGTCATCACTACGGTCACCATGGTCACCACTTTGATCACCACGGTCACCATGGGCATCACGATCATGGTCATGGTCATCATGATTACCATCATGGACATCATGATCATCACCATGGTCATCATGATCATCACCATGGTCATCATGGTCATCATCATGGGCACCACGACCATCATCACGGACACCATGACCATCATCATGGGCACCACGATCACCATCACGGACATCATGATTATCATCATGATCACCATCATGGACATCACGATCACCATCATGGACATCATGATCATCATCACGGTCATCATGATCACCACCATGGATATCATGATCACCACCACGGTCATCATGATCATCACCATGGGCATCACGATCACCACCATGGTCACCATGATCACCATCACGGGCATCACGATCACTACCATGGACATCATGATCACCATCACGATCATCATCATGGCCATCACGATCATCATCATGGTCATCACGATCATCATCATGGCCATCATGACCACCATCATGGACATCACGATCATCATCATGGTCATCATGATCACCACCATGGTCATCATGATCACCACCATGGACATCATGATCACCATGGTCATAGCCACCACCATCATCATAACGTTCACGAACACCATCACCATGGGTTCGTTCAGCACGGCGTCATTCCACCAGTACCACTAGTACATCCCCCAATTGCCATAAAGGAGCATATTCCAATTCCGATACCGATAAAAGAGCACATACCGATTGCGATCCCAATAAAAGAGCACATACCAATACCGATTCCAGAGCATATACCGATACACGTTCCTTTTAAACACGAGGGATTACATAATCTCTTCCAATCGGACTTGTCATATGCACATGGCTTTGAGCACAACAATTTAGGATTTTTGTGAAAATATTTGCCCTATAAAGTGCTGATTAAGTCAAGATTAACAATGCCATTAAATAGTGTGATAGTTAAAAAATACTCCTTTGGAGGATATTAACTCACTATCAAGTAAAATTTTGAATTTAATGTTTTAAATTACTATGGTAATAAAGTTACTAAGTAACCAAATTAAGCATCGCATTATTTTTTAATAAATGTAATAGGGTCAGAATTTCTCAAACGGGCCACCTGAATTAGGTCAAAATTAGTTTTTGTTTGTAGATACATTTTTTCGATAGTATTTTACATCACTAACACAAATCCTAAAGGATTTTGTAAAAAAAAAATTTTCAATTGACATATTCATGATATTAAAAGTCAAAGTTTTTAATAATTAAAAAATAAAAAAATTCATTATGGCTGAACTAATTATCCGATTCCAACGATATAACTAGCGTTGGAATCTTGTTTTGACATAGATTCTTTGTTATTTTTTTCAATTGTCCTATTTTCATTTAGGTCGATTTTTTTTTGTTTTTTTTTATACCAAATTCGGAAATAATTGCCTTCTGCGCCAGCTATCGACTCGAGAAAAAAAACACATATACTCCAATCATTTCTCGAAATTATGCTGCTGAGAAAAAAAATGGCCCGCAGGTTGACAAAAAGTTATTCGTCCTTTTGTGGCCGCGCGCGGTGTCAGCTCACGCTCCGAACCGTGTACGCTGTACGCGCTTGTGACGCGACGTCTTACGGTGGTCTGGAACCTGCGGGCCATTTTTTTTCTCAGCAGCATAATTTCGAAAAATGATTGGAGTATATGTGTTTTTTTTTTCGAGTCGATAGCTGGCGCAGAAGCCAATTATTTCCGAATTTGTTATAAAAAAAACAAAAAAAAATCGACCTAAATGAAAATTGTACAATTGAAAAAAATAACAAAGAATCTATGTCAAAACAAGATTCCAACGCTAGTTAAATCGTTAAAATCGGATAATTAGTTTAGCCATAATGATTTTTTTTTATTTTTTAATTACTAAAAACTTTTACTTTTAATATCATGAATATGTCAATTGAAAATTTTTTTTTTACAAAATCCTTTAGGATTTGTGTTAGTGATGTAAAATACTATCGAAAAAATGTATCTACAATCAAAAACTAATTTTGACCTAATTCAGGTGGCCCGTTTGAGAAATTCTGACCCAATAACAAACCCAATAGGGATGCTACAGCATATTTTAGTGAATACGTTTAAAACATAATATTAAATACGATTTAAATTAATATTTACTTACTTAAAACTGTTTTGTAAAATAGGTAATATCTTAACAACGTCTCAATTATTTGTTATTAACTTGTGGTATAGTTTAATTTATAATATATAAATCGAATTAAATGTTTTGTAATATAAAATCACTTACCTCATTCCTTATTTTTTCTTGTCGCAAATATTGTTGTAATAGCACAATACACACCGACAAATTATCATCTGTTTCCTGCAAGAAAATTACTTTAATAAACTTGTGACAACTAAAAAATACCGTGCACAAGATTGCATCTAGGAATTTAAATAGCAAATAAAACAACAAGTGTCTGTTTATTTTAAAATCCAAATGCATTGCAAAAATACTATGGTGCATCTAAAAATAAGTTTAATTAATTACTTTAAGCTTCGTCTGCAAAACAGTTAACTTCTCTTCTATTGACGCCATTCTTGTTTACTATCCAGGAAGTAACTGTCGCGTGTCATCCTAGTTATCGATTATTTCATAAATTAGATTCATAACCATAACATGCAATCTATTCTACAAACTTTTTGCTCATGACACCGTCATGCTCCTTAAAGTCTATTCACCTTAAATAGATTTGGTTTATATGTTACAGTCGCCTGAACAATAATTTTATTTGCATAATTGATTGCCGGAATTATAACCACAATGAGCCAGACAAATTAAATTCAAAACTTTATTGTTAAAGGTTTAATTAAATTTTAACAGGAGTAAATTAATAATTAATTAACTTTTCGTCCAATAATTCCATTGTAATCTAGCAATATTACAAGTCTTCAATATTATTAAATTTTGTGAAAAAATGCAAATATAAAATGACGCTGATCCATCAATACGCTAAAGAAGTATCGCTAGTTGCGGCACCACTCGGTTGTTATTATCGTACCAAAAATCTGTGGTATTATACCACAGATTTTTGTTACGATAATAACTTTTAATAATCAGCTGTCAAACGCTTATGTTACAAACGAGAGTTTTTGAGAATAAAGCCGGAAAATGTTAAAAAAATATCGGAAAAAAACCGTGGCTCAATTTGTTGTGTTTGTTGGGTGTATTTCGAGAGCAAATCCTGGGTTGAGTTTTTACCGGTTTTCCAATAAACAGTGTTAATCTGAATGAAGAAATAAATTGCATACATTCTTTAAATATAAATTGTACCTATTAAATACACATTTTAGTGGAGTTTAACGTCATTCAATTCAATTCAGTAAAAATCGTCAAACAAATAAGTCGTCTAAATTTTAACAGCATTTAGCATTATTAAAAACGTTGATTAAGAACATCTCCACTCAACGGTAGTTACCATTATAATATATTTTTTAATTATATATAATATTATGTTGCCATGAATTCGTAGGTATATTTTGATGTTTAAAATGCGTTTTTTAAAGAACTGGTTGATTTAATGGTTATGTTTGTGCAAACATTATTTTTTACTAATTTCTTAACAATGTCCAAACTTAAATATAAATTATATTAGGTAAAGTTATCATTAGTTAATTCTGCACCAACAAATGTACTTAAGGAATAACACTATAGTATAAATGTAACATGATATTTGTTTATCTGGATTTTATTACACAAATCGTAGTAAGCCATGCCCACGAATACGTAACATACATTTGTTTTTCAAACTGTCAAATTTTCAACGACAGCTGTCAGATCGTGTTGATGGCTTTGAGTGTCATTAGGGGACATCCATTAATTACTTGGGGCATTTTTCTGTTAATTTAGACCCCTCCCTCCCCCTTGGTGAGATGTGGTAGACCCCTTCCTTTAAGCCTTTGCCTATCATTTGTTACTATGTTGTAAAAAGTAAAATATCTTTCATTCACACTATTGGTTTTAAATAGCTAAGGTAGCTTTGCTGCTACAAAAACCTTTTTATATCAACAGGATCCTGGGATGACTCGTAGGAGTGTCTTGGTTAACCATGTTAAGTTGTCGATCCTGTTGGTATTTTAGGAAAGCTTAAGTGTTAAATGTGTATTCAAAAATGATGTGGACACAGTTGCTGCTTCTGATGGACAAAATAATTTACCAATATTAAGGTGCAGACAATTTATCTTAGCTCTTCTATGCTGCCTGCCTATGACACTTATATCGGACCCTGTATTAATAATTATATTGGCCTAGGATGTTAAGCTTGTTAGTTCAGTTTGTAGGTTTGTACGTTGGCATTGTTAAATTGATAAACATTTTTTAATAAAAGATTATTTACAATTTAATTTTACATAAGAATACACACAATACAATTTGCTGCTGTTATTTGCTCTGCTGAGAATATCAAAGCTTTTTTGGTGTGTAGCACTCTGACTTTCTCTTCAAGAATGTGAAAAGCTTTTCATACCTGTTTAAAATTAGTTAATCAAAAAGAAGTTAATCGTACGTTACGTAAACTTACTTAGATATATCGATATTTTCCTGTAGTTTAAGACAGGTTTTTACCATCAAAATTATTATTATTTATAATAGCTATCAAACCCCAGTTTTCTTGATTAAAGCATTGGTTTGGCTAGTTTAACGTTTTTTAAATTTGACCATGACATTCAAATTGACATCGTCAAATTCTTACAAATATACGGTTGTTTTTTATAGGTATTATGAAAAGTATAAAACAACATACGGCCGACATTGAATATAACGAATTTGGATTATTCTCGTTCGTTATATGCCTAATATCGGCCTATTTTATTTTATTTATTGATTTAATTGTATATTAACTGTTTAACAAAACAGTTCTATACGCTAAAAAAGTATCGCGCGCGCCATCTGGTGGACTTCGAATGCATTGCGTGAATTTAAGAAGTGTCAAAAATCCATTTAGAGCACAGATTATACATCATTTTTAAATAAATATGTAGTTGATCATTGATTAAGAAACTCAACGCTTAAATGCTTATATAGTTACGTTCGTGTGTGTATTTTATCAAAGGGAGCATGGTGAATTATTGTGTTTTTAATTGTAAATAAAATTCAAGAACTAAATCGTTGCATTTTCATGTTTTGCCAAAGGATCCGATTCGGTAAGTACATTTGTTGGTGCAAAATAAACTAATGATAACTTTACCTAATAAAATTTATATTTAAGAAATTAGTAAAAAATAATTTTTGCACAAACATAATCTTAAAATCAACCATTCCAGTAAATTCATAATTTTTATTTTTATTAAATACTATATTTCTTCAACATTTTTACCCTTTTACAAAAATGTTGACTTTTCTTACTGACATTTTGATAAATGCATAAAAATTATTAGCAAATAAATTTTAAAAAAATAATATTAGATGTACTTTAAAACATTATGTTACTTAAATTAGTATAAAATTTTAGCGGACTTGGACAATTATTTTAATGGATAATATTAGTTCATTTTTTAATTATTTAGAATTATAAATAAATATTAAAACGTAAAATAATACACAGCTCAAAATAAACTGTATACACCATAGGTATCTCAAAAAATCATGTGCGCTATTTAATTTTTAGCATGTGAATATTTGGGTCTTTCGAAAGGAACTTTAAGCCCGCAGATCGTTCCTACTCCTAACAGTTAACACATGAGACTTCTGGTGGTAGTAAAAAAGTTTTGTATACCATTTTAGTATAACAAATATTTAAATAAACATTTCTAAAACATTTTTTTTTAATTGATAATCATCTATTCAACCTACTTTGTCTTTTGATGATATACCATTGTATTTTAAGGAAGTATGCATATTACAAATACTAATAAGAAATAAGTGTTTATGGGAATAGCCAGGATTTTTTCATATGGGACAGGCAAGGTAAAACTAAAATATGCATATAGGGTGGGTTTGGCATTTTCCGAGAGAAATTTTTGTAATTTTATTTCCATTTTTGACTTTTATACCCAAAATTAACAAAATAGGCATTTGAATAAAAATTATCCCCTTATAATCAAAAACGATGCGTAGCGTTTATTAATGGAAAAACATATTTATTCTGTTACACTATCTTTCGTTATCTTTAAAGTTCTACACAAAAACGTTTCAAGATTTTAAGTTAAGTCCTCCTAACTGTAATTTATCTCCATTTTCTTCTACCTGCTTTCACCTGGTTATGCGCCTGCAAGTTTTATTTATATAATTATTCATTACTTCTCGTATTCTTCTCATTATTTATTCCTGCAACCTATGGACATTTTTATGTGACTGACTGATTCTATAGGACCATTAAATACTAAATCCAAGTTTATATGTCTAAATTGTCTTAATTAAATAAATTTAAGGTGATGCAACCTTTGTAATAAAATTACCAAAAAAGTTAACGCCACATGTGATATATACATTTTTTTATATTAGACATATCATGTCTAATATAAAAAAATGGTATTGTGTAGGACAGTGTAAAAACAGAAAACTAGGTTTGCCATAAATATACAGTTTTCTTTCAAGGTAATTTATTTTTATATTTTAACTATCTAGAGAAACAAGTTCATAATCCTTTATAATAAATTCATAACAATTGCATTATTACTAAATTTAAATCTAAGTGCAAGTTACTATTATTCCAGTGTTAATATAGTTTACAGTTTTACTTCTTAATAGTTTTAATTTATTATTTTCTATGTAAGTAATAATATTAATAATATTAAACCAATCTTAACATTTTCCTTTTAATTTAAGAATGATTGAAGTATTAATACTAGTTGTGGTTATTCTATCGATATATCTAAGAAACAAAGAATATAATCATAGAGAAAAGTATAAGGGATTTTATAAATTGCCAACACCATCCTCAAGCTTGCCACTTTTGGGTAACGCTCATCTTTTTGTTGGAAAAAGTAAGGAAAAACATACAATTAAAGGATAATGACTAGGGAGCAGAATAAAATTAATTCAGGATTTTTATTGTGTTGGTATGAAAAGTGCAAGTGTTTTGGTATGATCCGCGATTGCCTGCCATAAGTAAATCAAGGGTTTACAAGTGGTATAAGGGCTTTGAAGAAGACGATTGACATGGACGCTACAGCACATTAACAATCGATGAAAACGTGGAAAAGTAAAATGGTTATAAACGAGCAATATTAAGTACTATCTATAGATAAAAGTTTAACGCGGTTTTATTGTCTTTGGTTACAGTTGATTTTCCAAGACTCTATATTTACTAAACCATACTTTATTTTCGTTAGGTTTTGTTTATTATATCCTTTAGTATGTAGAAAATAATATTTTAGACCCCTAGACCTTCATGACAAAGTTAAGTTTTAGTGAAATATCCATTTTTAAATGGTCACCAAAAGTGCTCTGCTGACCATTGGTGGAATCAATAAAAATGTTTCTTAAATTTAATAATGAAGTTTCTTATGTTTGTGTATTGCTTATTTTGATTTAATTCGGATAAGATGGCATCAAAATTAAGTCAATATTACGTAGAAAAAAAAGTCGGAGCTATTTTTGTTTCTTCCTTTTTTTAGGGTTTAAAACCAATTCAATATTGTTATACCCAATTAAATTTATCAGCATTTAAAGATTTATTTATCTTGTTTTTTACACGGAAAGAAAAGTATAATGCTGATTACCATAACTATAATACCCTTTACCATAATTTATATTACTATTTGGGACAACTATCTTGTATATTGCCAGATACAATGCATATTTAGTAATTTTTAAATATCCATGTTACATGGACCATGTATATTAAAATATTATTATTTTCAACCAATTCTTATTATAATTAGATTTTTTCCATTACTAATAAGTATGGTAAATTTTAAAATATTATGTGGCCATTTTAAAAATAAAATATTTTAAAATCTAATATTTTTATGTTAACAATTAAAAATTGTACTTCTTAGTATACAAAAATGTTTTGAAAAAGAATTGAACCCCTCGCCAAAGTTTTTGTTTTGAGTGCGTTCCATCAACTTCAAATACCGACAAACAGGTGTTTTGACCTATATTGGGTATCATCAGTGTCGACACGACACTGTCGAGCAACTTGTAGTAGTGCAACACACCCAAAACAAAGAAATACCTGATATACCTAATATGGTTGGTAAGCCAACAGAGGCGAGATGTAAGAACATCACGTGATCCACACCGTCTAACGACGCGTCGCGACGTGGCCTTTGCCGCAATAGGTACATACTATGCAACCAAGTAGGTTTAATTCTTTCTTATAAGTATTACCAGTAATGGGTCAAGAAAGTTTATTGAAGAAACTAAGAAAATTAAATGTTTAAAATGTCATGAGTTACTATATTGTATATTTACCTTAAACATAAAAGTATCTTTATTTTTAGTATATTTTTTATTAATGTGTAATATATTATATTAGATGTACACCTTACATTTGATTAAATCATATATTAAATATTACTATTTGTAGATGATAAAATCAATTAACTATACGAACATATTAAAAATTAAAATATATTTATGATTTAATAATATTGGTGTTGTAATCTTTACTAAAATTGTATAATAAAAAATAGAATTTTGTCTTAAAGTAAATTTTACTATATTTTTTTACTATCTAAAATTTACTATACATTTCTATCCGTGTAGTATAATTGTTAACTCCATAGAATTTTGTTATTTGAAGAAATAACAATAATTTATTATTTTAGATGTTCTTGATATTTTTTCGGAACTTGTAAACACTTGTGGAGCTCCATGTTATGCCCATCTTCCAGGAAGATTTTATATAACCGCATCTCCAGAGGAATATAAAATAATCCTAAATCATCCAAATAGTATGGGAAAAAGCACAACCTATAACTTTGTAGGCAGATTATTTGCAAGCAGTCTTTTAATGGCACCAGGTAAGTAATTTTCTAGAAATCGATTTTTTCTCCATTTTCTAATCACAAATAATTTTTCTAGATAGTACAGAATAAAAAATCCTTCATTGGTTACTTTAGTTTAATTTAAAAATAGTTTACATTATTGCGGAAAGAGTTTTAATAGTAATTGACACAACGCACTTCGTTTTTTAAGTTAAGGAATGTTATCGTGTTGAATAGAATAAAAAAACCTTTTAACCATTTAAAAATGGTTTACATTATTGCGGAAAGAGTTTTAGAGTTTTGAACAAAATATTTATGGAAGTTGGAGGCAGATATTTTGAGCTTATTGTTTTCTGCCAAAAAATCCTTATCTGTACTTTTTATTCGAATAATAATGAAGTGTGCTGTTGCAATTTCAATTTTAAATATATTGAAAAAATTATTAGAATTTGACTCTTTTTATGATACTCAGTAAAGCAAGACCTTACTTGTACTATTACGCCTATTATAATAATATTTGCGTGTGAGTGAGATCTATATCAAAATACAATTTAAATTTCATTTTGTTCTAGATCATCAATGGAAGAAGAACAGAAAATTTTTATCCAAAGGATTTAACCAAATGATACTAGACTCATTCGTAACGGTATTTTACGAAAAAAGTGAATATTTTAACGTAAAACTGAAAAATATTGATTATGATCAAAATGATATATATAGTTTATTTGAAAAGTATACATTAGATGTTTTTTGTGGTTTGTAAAAAATAAAAATGTGTAGCATTGTAATATTGTATTGTACATAATTTTAGAGGCAACCCTTGGAATAGAAACCAAATTAATAGACGAAGACGATTGCGAAATTGTGAATTTTATTACAAAGTAAGATACATAGATAATTATTTACTATAAAGATATTCAAGGATTAAACTGAAATTAAGTTGTTGTGCTCTACACGGTGTGCCTGAACGAAGTTTAAGTCACATAAAAATGCCGCCAAAAATTGATTTCTTATTCGGTACCCTTTGGTGACTTAAAAATGATATTTACCAAAATCCTAGCTGCTCCTTTTTTCGAAATTTTTTGAAAATTCATGACTTTTTTTTTAATTTTTGTTTATCTTAAAGTCTACCTTTGACAGAGTACACATTTTTACACCGATTTTTATAATATTGAAGTATATTGTTAAGGAGTTTTTGAGGATACTTTTTGATAATGTGCACATCATTTAATATATACAGGGTTAGACAAAAATCGCTTCTTTTAATAAAGCAAAAGCGTAACTTCATGATTTTGGCATAACACGCAAAAAAGATTTATCCCCATTTTTTTAGATATTTCTACGTTTATCAGGTTAGAAAATAGTATTCTTATTAACCTTGTATAAAAAATGATTTTTAATAAAAATAAATAAAATAACGCTTAGCTGTGTCAAAGGTAGACTTTGAAATAAACAAAAATTGTATCATTTTTAAGTCACCAAAGGGTCCCGAACAAGAAACTGCAATCAGTTTTTGGTGGCATTTTTATGTGACTTAAACTTCGTTCAGGCACACCGTGTGTACTTGTTTTGTACTTATACCAGTCGTGTTTATTTAAGTAGAACCTAACATGCACCTCACAGTTTAAGTTTAATTTACGAATATGTCCATGAATATGAAAATGCATATATACAGATAACCTTTTAACATGGTCTAAACCAAAAAATGCAGTACTTTTCATTAATTCCTCCGTGAAAGCCTTAAATCTAAAATAATTTTTATTATAAACCATCAATATGTTTTTAGTGATGTTCTTATTCCAAGAATATGTTATACTGAGCTAAATTAAGAGATATAGAAAAATTTAAGTCAAATAAGGTATTACTAATAAAAAAATTAAAAAAAATATTGTAAAATGCCTATGTTGACTTTAGAAATATTATTATAGGTAGTAGAAAAGCTATTTTAAATTATATTATTGTATGTCCTTTAAAATATAAGGAATTCTATAATTATAATGAATAAAATTATATTGTTTATTTTTAGAGGACAAAGGATTTTAATAGGTAGACTTTCAAACGTGTTCAAACATTCCGATATTCTATTCAACTTAACAGAAGATGGCAAATATATTAATGAAAGCTCACAACATTTTTATAACTTTGTTTTGGATGTATGGTCATATAATTTATTTTAATTTTTTAAAATCTAACTCAAGTATTTTTAGATTATAGCCAAAAAAAGGAAAATGATAGCTGAAGGCCAAGGTAAATTTAATAATTAAATAATTGAAAATGTTATAAGAAAATCCATACAATTTATTACAGATATTATGGCACAAACAAATAAGTTACCGGTACTGGATTTACTTCTTTCAGAAAAGGAAGCTTTTGAAGACAATTATATTAAGGAAGAAATGTTACTATTTGCTGCCGCTGTAAGTACATACGAGGTGTGTTCAGAAAATATCGGGAATTTTCGTTTTTTGAAACAAATATTTATTTATTCGTCTACATTAATGTTGTCGCCTTTAAAATAGTCCCCATTGGATATTATGCACATGTGCCAGCTCTTCTTCCAATACTCGAAACACTTCTAAAACTCGATCTTTGGGATAGCCTTTAGTTCTTTCAGCGATGCACAACCTGACCCTCCGAACCCGCGAAATTTAACAATTCCCGTTATTTTCTGAACACATCTCGTATACTGGTTGTTTCTGCTTCTGTATGTACCGGTTGTTTCAGATATTTAAAATTGATTTTAAATATATATTGGACTTTTTGAATTGATACAACTATTATAATAAGGTTTTATACAAAGCGTTTTAGTTTACTTGTCTACATATTATGAAAACATTTCCCCACTTCTTTAAAACTGATTTTAGTTGCTCTATGCTATTTTGACAAGTTAAAATTCCTAATTTATAATAAAGCTAACTTAAGCCCGTGACTAAAATGCCCAAAAGCCACTGTTGATAACTTCAGCCCGTGACTAAAACGTCATAGAGTCGCAGCTCGTCAATAAAGGAGTAGATAAAATTAATTAATACATGGGTCGTCAAATTCGTATAACTGGATAACTTTATATTTGTTGAAGTCTATTTTAAGCTAAAACAAATGAAACAATGCGCGATAATAACTATTAAGAATAAATTATACCCTTTAGGAATTATAAGGTATTTCAAGAAACTAATAAAAAATCAAAACTTTAATACCGTCCATATTCAAATATAGGTTTGAAGATCTTGTTATCTTTAAATTACTTTAGAATTACAATAAATTATTAAATGAATTAAATGAAATGAAATATTTCAATTTATTTCTTTAGGCAACGGATACAACAGCTTATTCTATGGCCTACACATGTTGCTTATTGGGAATGCATCCCGAAATACAGGTATTTATTTATATAGGTATTTATATAAATAATACAATTTAATTAATAATATTGTATGCAGGAAAAAGTATTAACAGAAGTTATGGACGCCATTGGAAAGGACAGAGAAATTACGTGTAATGATTTACATCAACTAAAATATACGGAAATGGCTATAAGCGAGGCAATGAGGCTAATACCAGTGGTACCAATGATTGGTAGAAGAGCTGTAGGAGACATAGATTTGGGTATTTTCATTTTATTAATACAAATTACACAGTGCAACGGTTAAATATGTTTGGATGGATCAATAGTGTTGTTTTTGTAGAACAAAAACCCCAACGGATTTTAAAAGCTTCCCTCAACTTTAAAAGTTATATTGGTTCAAAGTTATAGTATTCGCTTATTCTGTACTTTTTTAAACTATTGGCCTTTTTCGTCAAAAATAATAATATATATATATATAGATATGAGAATACCGCATTTGAAAAGTGCTTTAGCCAAAACATAAAGGGGTTAATTTTAAAAATTCATTTTGGGTTTTTGTCTGCAACCATTGACTTATCCAGACCGCATTCCCACCATGTTATCTTTTGAACGAAAATATATATGGGTGAATCTCACGAAATGTCCCCCGATGGTGTTACCCCGTGATATTTAATAAACCTAAATGAGTTTGACCTACACTTTTATTGTGTTTTTATCTTTTATAATTAAGTAGATATTACAGCTCAGGTTCCAGATCTTTAACCGCAATTAATTAATTTTTACAATGTTTTAAAAGTCTAAAACCTATCCTCCGTGACTGTTATTTTTTCTAGGTTGACCTATGTTTTCAAATATCGATGGTTATTTGACAAAACATCGTAAGCGACAATTTTGTTGAATTACTTTTTATTTTATCAAAGTGTCAGTTACGATAAGCTGCACATGTTAACATAATAGTTATTCCAATTTTGGAATCTAATATTGGTCAGTTTGAATATTTTTATTATTGTAAGCGCCTCTTCTTTTTAATTTGTTACCGATTTATAACGTAAGCGCCTAAATGTTCCTGGCAAATAATCGTAAGCAACTCCGAGACATGGCGTTTGCGATAATATTGTCCCTTGATCTATCAAGGCGTTATTCCCGTTTTAAACAGTTTATTCGTGAGTATACCTGTATCGAGGTGATTGCTACCACAATCCACAATGTGGATTGTGATTGCTACCAAGTTTTAAAACAATATTTTATTTGATGAAAAGCTTATAATTCCTTTTTATCATTGCATTATTAATAGTTATCCTAATTATAATTGTTTTTACGTAGTGTGGTTCGTTAAAAGTGTTTTTGTAGTAATTGTATGTTGTTATAACGTCAAATAATTTAACTCAAATTTATAACGGTTAGATGACGGCCAAAAAATTTCGAACCACCTGTCATTCAGTTGATTTCAAAATGTAAAACTGCCTTTAGTAACAACTAACCTTACTTTCTGAAAGTTGTCAATTTGACGTATTTCATTGTTGATTGTGTTGTTTTAAGGTTAGATTCTCTGTCAACTTTTTGAAACTACTTGTCATCTTGTCAAAAATGTCCGTAAAGGTTGGTTTGCACAGACATTAAGTTCGGGCTCCTTGTGTAGGCTCCATGGGTTAGATACTGGTTTGTGAATAAAGATCGTTCGTTTTTTTGAAAGCTAATGTAGATTTTCATTTTTAAACATTGTTTGGCAAAATATCGTTGGTGATATAAATTAATTTTTTTGTAATTATTTTTTATTTAATAATAAAAGTAAAAAAATAAATGTCGCTAACAATGTTTTGACAAAATCAAATCAAATCTATATCCCAAAAAGTAACGTAAATGTAACATAAGCGACAAGACTATTTTTACATTTTCCTAAAGATGTTGTTATAAAATATCGTATGCCACAAAATTTAATGAAAATTTTAGATTGGATTCGTTATAACTTAAATATTTGAATTCTACATTAATAAAATAATGCCTCACCAGTTTTTAGATAAATAACTTTAAAAATAAAGCTTCCACACAAAAAAAATCTCTCCTGTAAAATTTAGGTTTTGTCGCTTACGATGTTTTGTCAACCATCGATACTGAGGTAGTAAAATTAAAAGAAATAATTTTTATAACCATTTATGTAAGTGTTACAAAAATTGATTCAAACCTTCGTGAATCTGTTTTTGCTTTAAATTTTATGTAACGGATGCCGCTTTAATCATTTTAAATAAGCAAAAACCTCTGTTTACGACATTATAGATGCATGTGATTCCTGAAGGTCAGTTAGAATTTATATGCAGATGAGAGTGTTGCTGTTTTATAATTCAAAAGTTTAAGTTCATTAATTTGCTGTTTAAAAACCTATCCACCGTGAAGTTTAATATTTCAATAAGTAGATTTTTTTTATAAATATTTTATGTATGTACAATTGTATTTTTAAAAAATATTAAAGTGTCAAAAGATACAATAACTTACTTCAAATATACAAAGGGATGTTTTAACAAACATACGAAATCCTAACCTCCGTGAAGCTATATTCCGTGAAGCTCTAATATTCAAAACGTATGATTTCTTAAAATTCTTGCATTAGTGCAGAACCACTTATGTTATGTTATTACTAGACCTGGTGGCTTCCCAAAAACCCCATTCTAGACTAACAGTGAAACAACCAAAAATAAAAAATAATCATTTTCACTTGGGGGACATCTCATTATATTCACCCATATCGACACCGGACAAAACCCATTGTCAAGGATATTAAGTATACTACTTTTTGACCTCAAATTTATGCCTATTAAAGAAGTGCCAAGAGGGCAGTATTAACTTAAATATTTTAAATTAAAGGGAGAGCTTGAGATACCTTAAAAAAACTTAAAATGCTTAACCCATAACTAGTCGCGCAGGTGCACTGAGTGCTCCGTTTTTATTTAATCCTCTATATCTTTTTGTCGTTTTCTTGGAATTGAATGCCCTTTCTATGTAACCTATGACTGATGTGTCTACAATGCACTGTCGACGGCATATTTAGTTTAAACTATTGATTTAAAAGTTATGGACAGAAAACTTGAGATTGATTTAGAAATACTTCACTAAAACGTAACTAAATTTCAATTTTTGTAATGCAAAATATTTCTAAATCAACAAAATATGGAATTTAAAACATAATGGTTTTTAAGGTATACATTTTTATAAGAAAACACAATTAAAAAAAGAACGGCTAAATTTCCTTCTGATTTCTTCTTTTCTGAGTAGAAGTAATAACTTTTTTGTTATTTGCTTTTTGTTTTATTGTTTAATAAATATTGTGTTTAAGAAATAGAGTTTATTCATCGGAATATAACCAAAAGTAATATTAAAATTGAAAACATTCAGCAATATAGCCATTTTAAGGAGCGGAGCCCTCAGTGCACCGCGCGACCACTTATGTTACAAAAATTGGCGCGAGTAGTTAAGGGTTAATTTCCGTTAAACGTAGTTTGGGTATTTATCCAAATTTTAATAAATAGGGTATATACCGGGTACGTGCTCATAACTGATCACTAAAGATGGGATATTTAGGTACTAAAAACTGAAAAATAGGTAACTAAAAAGGTACTAAAAAAAAGCATTTTAGGTAAAAAAAACATTAAAAGTTCACGTTTCGTTTATAATTTTGTTTAGCCGCATACCCAAACAGAGAACATACCCACAATAAACTATTTCAATGCAATAAACTGTGTTTCACTAAGTGACACTTACTACACAGAATTTCTATGACAGAACATAAGCTCACTACAAAGAAGGTAACTGTAAAGAAAGTTACTGTTACAGTCTGTGCCCATAAGAAAAATTCTATACTGTTGAGTTGCACGCCCTGGATAAAATATTGGCATAAAATTTAAAAAGAACACAAAAAAAAATAAGTAAAAATACGTAATATGTAACAAATAGGTGAAAATTAACAGACAAATTAAAAAATATGTAATAAAAGTATAAAAAGGTGTTTAAAGCAAAAACCTCCAAAAAGGGTAAAAAGGTGAAAAAAAGTTAAAAAAAATAGGTAACAAAAGTATAAAAAAGGTAGTTTAAAGCAAAAACCTCCAAAAAAGGTAAAAAAGGTAAAAAACAAGTTAGGTTCATATAAAAGAAAATCTTTTAAAACACATTTTGGCATTATTGGTTTTCAAATAGTTACATCGATTGAAAAAAGTTAAAATAACTAAAATCCCATCCCTGCTGATCACAAGCCCCATTTAAAATTTGTAAGGCAAAACTGTCCTCTTGGCAATCCTTAAATAGGCACCTATTAATTTCAAAAAGATCAAAAAGTTGTATACTTAATATGCATGACAATGATTTTTGTCCTATGTCGTTTAAAAGATAACCTTTAATCAAATTTAATTTAAGGAACTAGGGTTATTCCTGCCAATACAGATGTTGTTTGTCTGTTTATAAATACGCATAGAAATGAGAAATACTATCCAAATCCAAAAAAATATGATCCTCGTAGATTTTTACCGGAGGAAGTTGCAAAAAGGCCCCAGTATTCTTATTTGGCATTTTCAGGAGGACCAAGAAACTGTATTGGTAAATATTTATTGAAAATATATTTTTAAATATGTTACTATTATTAAACACGATAAAATAAAATGTTCTGTTTGCTGCCGGGTAGACAACAAATTCTTTAGGGTAATTTGAGTGCGCTGAATCTTAAAATGATCATCACTTTGCTCAAGCAGCTTTGCCTTTCGCTATTTGTTTTTTTAATACAATTCTTTAACAAAACTACAACTTTTAATATACAGCTGTTAAACGCGTAGGAATGTTACAAACGAGTGTGTTTAAGAATTAGGCCAAACATATCTACTTATTTGTTTAAAAATTATGTGCAGTTCGTATGCATAAAATGTACATTTGATAATTCTTAAATTTCCACTTTTAAATGCTGGGGCATTCCACGTTACTCAGTAATATTTGCCCCGCCCGTCACAATAAAAAAATGTGAGTAAAAACCACACGTTATTAAATATATTTTAAAATATTGTTTGTAATGCTTGTAATAAGCTTATTAGCACAATAAAAATAATATTATAACATAATAATGTAATAACTTGTGGTTTTTACTCACAATTAGTAGTAACGTGGAATGACCCTGCTGTTAATAAAATAAATATTGTTAGGGTTAGGGTCATTTTTGTTTAAATTATAACTTTAGCTTTCAAAATGCGCATATTTTTTTATTTTAATTGGGGCTCAGTTACAAAAAAAATATATACAAAAGTGCTCTTTTAGTTCCACTTTTAGTTGGGCATCGTAACTACACAATTTAGGTACGATTTATTTATTGGTAAACACCGCTAAATCCCATTGAAAATTCCACAAATTATGCAAAACCGCCAATAAATTATTTTATCTTCAAGGCTGTAAAAATAAATTAGGTAAAGTTTTTTACATATAGGTAATAATAATTGTAAGTACCTTTTATGAATCGTTTAACAAATAAAACTGTTCCTTAAAGATAAAATGTTGTATGTCATTTGGCTTTTGTTTTTGTGCTTCGCTCAACTGCAGGCCTTCGCTGATACGTTTGATACTTCTATCTTTGAGCTCAGCACAAAAAGACTCAGCCTTATGACATACATATCTATTACCACCTATTGAGTAAATAAGTAACGTGCATGCCAGATATCAATGATACAGATTTCTTTAAAACTTTTAAGTCGTACTTGGTCAGGGCAAAAATAGAAAGCGCAAATACCAGAATTCAAGAATAATATTGTAATTAACGGACTTGCTGTTGTTCAAGATTTAACGATTTTATTGTGCCATATAAAAATTAAATAATAATAATAATAATAATAATAATAATAATAAATACACAAATATTTAAACATGGATGTCATCGCTTGAAATTTAAGTACGCCCCGTGGAAATTAAAAAAAATTAAATTTGTAAACTTGGCGGATCTAAATAGTTATTTATGTCATTAGGTTAAGAAGTAAGGCTTTTTGTGCTACACGGAAAAAAAGCTATTCTATATTAAAGATTAATCATCTCGTTTCAAGTATATGTTCATCTCACCATTCCGCAAGTATAGCTAATTTTCATTCAAGGATTGATTTATTCTTATAATATATATATATATATATATATATATATATATATATATATATATATATATATATATATTTGTAATATAAATTAATACTTATTTAAAGAATATAGTGGGTTGAATGCAAGAACTAACCTATACTTATTTGGATATAATTTCAATGTTAGTTGCAAGGGTAAACTTATTCTTATTTCAAGAAAAACTATCACATTGTTTTAAATGTAAGCAATTCTTGGATTTACAATATTTACTTTTGGATTAAATATAAGGTATCTTTTATGTAAGTTAAGCAATAATTGTTTCAAATATTATCTATTCTTTTTTTAACTTTTGCTTGACTTTAAATAAAGGTTAGGATATAATGACCATGTTTATTTCAAAAGGTAAGAGTGGATTATTCTTTCTCTTTTTTTCTAAGACTGATAAAGACAAATAGATAGGATAATCCACTCTTTACCTTTTAAAATAAACATGGTCATTATATCCTAACCTTTAAAGTCGAGCAAAAGTTAAAAAGAGAATAGACAATATTTGAAACAATTATTGCTTAACTTAACCAGAAAAAAAATGTATTGGTCTTTAGCATTGTCTTTATTACATAACTTTTTTACAATGTTTCAAATACCTATCTACCTATATATAATATATACTGCAATGATTTTTTCAAACCTTCAGACACGTTGATTTTGTTTGCGAGACGGACATTTTTTGGCTATATTGGCCTGTTTACCCAAAATGTTTTATTCGTACCTATACTCTGCCGCACGGCAAAGGTAAAATATACATAATTGCTTTTATGTGATTCCCCGGCCGACTTAATATCACTCCAACAGCTAAAATTATTTATAATACTACACGCATAAATGGAATTATGCATTACATGTAATAATTATTACTTACTCATAAATTTGATGGTTAATTCTTTTAAATTCCACTTATCAAGCAGTTCTTCCATAATTTTAAAACAAATATTATACGAAACACTCAACCAAATAGTAACAAATAATGCTTGCAGGGCTGACGCAATTCTTTGGGCTGACGCTGTGTAAAACGCCTACACTAACAGGGTTAGCGGACACGTTCGGGAGTGGGGAATATTTTTAAGAATAGGTCAGTCGTACCAATATTAACTATTCTTAGAATAAATATAAGTATATTTATATCCAGTATAGTTTTATCCCTTTAAGAATAGAATGGGCTTGGAGGGAATTTTCTAAAATTTAGTCTAATCGATTGTTAATCTTAAAATAAGAATAAGATTATTTCATCCAAAGTTTTTCTTAACATTTAACAAGCAAGAATAAGATCTGCTTGTTTTAAAAAAGATTTTTATTTAGTTTAACGTTAGTTTTAGTCTTGACAATATTAGGTCAATCATCTTATTTCAAATGTACTTAATTTTAATTTAAGAAATAAAATCTTTTTAATTTAAGGATTGGTTTATTCTTATAACAAGATTAAGTTATTCGTAGCCCAAGCAAATTATACTTAAATCAAGTGAATTTTCTTAAGAATAAAGATATTCTTACATTTAGAAATCTTTTTTTTTTCCGTGTAAGCTCAAGGTTTGAGCGAAGCACAAAAAGGCACTTCTTGGCCGAATGGCATACAACATTTTATCTTTAAAGCACTTTATATAGGTCAATTTAATACAACATCAAAGCGGCCTAACCTCACTTTTTTAGAATCTCATTTATTTATTAGCAAAGATTACATTAAATGTAAGTACAATAATTTTGACAATACCTAGCTAAATGATTTAAATAGAAATGGATTTTTGCTATTACATTAAATTCAATTAATTGTTTAATAAATAGGTAGGTATCTAATTTCAATTTGTTTGGATTTTTATTAAAAAAATAGGTAGTTTGGAATGTTTAAGCTGTGTTTAACATTTCATTTCACTGAAAACTTAAAGCAAATTAAAGATAATTTAAATCGTAGAAAAATAATCGTGCGTTTTCTTGGTTGCCTTACCTCACTTTTTGTTTTATTATTCATATTTAATTTTACAATAATTTAATGAAAAATATTAAACATTAACAGTAAAACAAACAAATTAGTGCTTATTATAAATAAATTAAACCAGTTTAGTACGTTAATTGTCAAAACAATACCCCTATCGAGAAAAATCAAAATAATTACTTGCCTCACAAAAATTTTTATCGGCCTAGGCCATCACAAGGTATTTCTTTATCGAATGTTGACAACAATAAAGTTTAAATTATAGACCGCGTGGAGATAAAATTATTTATCAAGATGGTGTGGTACTAACCAAAATTATTTGTTGAAAATGTATTTTTCTACAATGGCGACTATTTATAAACATGTTCCGAAAAGTTTCCAAAACTGCTCACTTTATTACTACTACCACTTCCAAATAATACTTTAGTGATGTAGTTTGGTTGCCGTTACTATTCATAATCCATTTTAAAGTTTAGAGAACATTTTAGATACCAGAGTGATAGTTAGAACTATACTAATATAATTATATAATTATATTTATGAAGTTTTAGTCTCTTTGTTGCTACTTGGGATACCCAAGTTAAAAAAGTTTTCTTGTAATTTTAAACCGGTAATTAGGATCTTAGACATTAATTGGAGGTAAAGGTGTTTGACGAGCAAGAAATTCATAAAAGGCTTTGGCATGGTTGCTTGTCAGATAATTTTCAATTAAAGTGTTTGACCGAAAAAATATATATTTGAATTTGAAAAACCCTTTCATTTTGCAATATCGAAAAAACAAAAACTGATTAAGCAAATTATCCTAGAAAAGTTCATGTCTACCCTGTAGCAAAATAATTGCTGACCAATGATATTTTTATTATAGGCATGAAATATGCAATGATGGTTATGAAAACAACAATAGCTAATATTGTAAGAAATTTCCATATAACGACTAAATACAAGTCAATTGATGAATTAGAGTTTGAATCCAGTATAATAATGACCACTAAACATCCATTGGACTGTCATTTCACGCCTAGAAAATGAAAATTACCCACAAATATGTTTATATTTCTAAATATTTAAATTAATAAAATACTACAATAACAAATGTTATTTATTTAAGTTCCTTATTTTAAAATTTGTAAACCGGAAAAGGGCTATGAGTCATAACTTATGACCTTGCATTTCTTGGACTTATCGAGCTGTTGAATATTCAACACCCGCAAGAATAAGCGATATACAGCTTGTTTATAGTAAAACCGAATATAAATATATGGGGCGTGGCCTCGCCCCCTCCAAGGCGCGTCACAGTAGCTTGTGTGATAAACGACATGACAAAAGGTTAAACAGGTAAGGACTTAAAAAATTAAATGATAATAATGCAAAAAATCTCATTAGCGATGTAGGCTATTTGCTTATCTACTGTGTCGGGCGTTGGAGGGAGGCGAGGCCACGCCCCATATATATATAGATATATTCGGTTTTATTCTGAACGGGCTGTACCTCTGCTTAGCTTTGAGAGAAAGAGAGCGAAATATTAAAATAGCATTTTGCCCACAGGCTATAGTGGTTACATAGTGAGGTTAAATCGGTTTGACAGTTGTCAGATGTCAGTTAAAATAAAAATAGTTTTAAATTTGTAGTTGAGATTCCACACTCGAAAAATCTCCACTTTCAGGCAAAAGTAAAACTTTCGTCTTCAGTGACTAAAGATGGTGCTATTGGATTTCTCTCGCTAGTAACGAAAATTTTGCTGGAGTAAATAAAATACATTACCCAAAAATATTATATTTGTTTTATTAAAATCATGGAAACATATTTTTTAACCGAACAATCGTTTAATCGTGTATATTTTATATAACAGTATCAATTTAAAACACAATAATTGTGCAATTATTGCCTACATAATGAGGAAAACGAAATTTAACAGTACTTTACAAAAATATCTTTACGTAAATTGTTATGTTTTTTATTGCGTAAGTATTAATAGTCGATAACAATTTACAAAACAACATAAGTTCATTAACATTAATTAACTAACACATGTGTGGATTTAAATTTGTATATATATATATATGAGACGCTTCACGTCACTTTTATCCCCACCATGTCCGAAAATTGAAGCCACCTAAAAACATTACTAACGCCTTAAAATCTTCTTTAGGGCATACACTTTTAAATACAAACTGGAAAGAAATAGTCACCTCCACCAAAACGCAGCGACAGACGCTTATTTTACTTGTTATTCAAAGACTTAATAATATATCTATCCATTCCATTAATACCGTGCAAAAAGTAAAAAAAAGTATGATTAATCCCGGCGCATTCGCCATTTTTGCAACAGCCGCGATATACTCCCACTGGATGCTTTGGAGGATAAACGTAGGTGCATCATTAATACAGGCAATAATTAATACATTGTTTTGATTTGTTATGAAACCAAATTTTGGTGGGATTTAAATATTTTTTGCAGATTGTTAATTTAATTAAATCCATTCAGCAGTGTAAATTTAATTCTAAATAAAATAAAAATGCTGATATTATATACCGGTAACATTTTTCTCGTCTATTTTAATTATTTTGAAACTTTCAAATTCGTTTTTCTTGAAATTAAAAAAATGTTTTCCCCCTGTAATCTTTATATATATTTTAAAATCTTTAGGACCAAATGTATTAAATATAATAAAAGAAACAATATATTTATAGTATTAATAATAAATAATACACACTCAATTCAACCATTTGTAATAGTTTCTGTTTTTTAGACATATCACCATTAGATATATACACAACAATTAACTCTTTAAAATCAACTAACTCTTGTAGCATCGATGGTATTTCTATTAGGGTTCTAAAATCCATAAGTTATATCATTGCAGAACCACTTGCACACGTCACTAATTTGTCAATAAAGTCAGGGTATTATCCAACAACCTTAAAAGTAGCATCACTAACTCCAATTTTTAAAAAGGGATATCCATTGTGCAAGTATAATTATAGACCAATATCTATATTAAAGTCTTTTTCAAAAGTAATAGAAAAAGCAATTTGCAATAGAATTATTTCATTCCTTAATCAAAATAACGTCATAACAAACTCGCAGCATGGATTCCGGAAAAATTATTCCACCGAATCAGCAGCATGTCAATTAATGCAACATATTTATAAAGAGCTGGATGAGGGAAGATTGGTCATGGGACTATATTTTCACCTAAGTCGCGCATTTGATGTCGTAAATCCTGACTTTTTGGTAGATAAAATGTATGAGATGGGATTCCGAGGTAAATTTTCTCATTGGATTAAATCATACTTAAATAATCGTAAATTCTGTGTCAAGTTAAATAATAAAAATACTGAACAATTTAACAGTAACTTAGAGGTTCCTCAGGGCTCGGTACTGGGACCACTTCTGTTCTCACTCTACATAAACGATCTTCCTAACTATTTAAATGGCAAAGTTACCATGTATGCCGATGTCACATCAGTGGTGGTATCAGCATCGAGTCATGGGGAACTCATTGAAAATGTTGAGAGTGTCAAAAGTCAATTTACGAGCCGGTGTTTAAAAAATCTCCTAATTCTTAACAAAAATAAAATTGAATATGTATTTTTCTCTCCTCGTGTAGCTAATTTAAATAAGTTTAATAATGACTTTACAGTCTCTAAATTTGTAAAATTTTTGGGTATTTCCTTAGATGGTCAACTTTAGTCGGAAATTCAAACCATATTTGTAAAAGAGTAAGTTCCTCAAACTTTGCTTTATTATCTCTAAAAGAGAATTTTTCTCGGCATGGACTCTTGAGCGTATACTATGGTATGATATACTCCCACTTATCTTATAATATCGTTTTTTGGGGTAGAGCAACATCATTAAATAGAGTATTTGTTCTACAAAAAAAATCATTAAGAATAATCTTTGGTATGCGTTCGAGAGAGACATGCCGAGACATATTTAGGAGTAATAATATTTTGACAGTCTATGGTATCTACATATATAACCTTATGAAATATGTACGTTCAAACTACTCCCAATTTTATATAAATAATGACTTTCACATGTATTCAACAAGAAAAGGTGCCTTTTTAAGTTTTCAGAGACATTATACAGCACTTTATGAAAAGTCACCCTACTATTCTGATATAAAAATTTATAATAGCCTTTCAGAAAGCATTAAAATAATAAATAACAATAACCAATTTAATAGAGAACTTAAAAGTTTTTTAATTAGTAAATGTCCTTTGGATTTTTTGTAACAAACATTTTTATTTATAAATTCTTGCAGTGTGGAACAGACTGTATACACTCTAAATGTTAATTTATTTTTAGATTGTAATGTATTTGTGTTGTTAATCTTTGTAATATTTATATACTGACCTGTCCTATACATATGTAAATATGTCTTTTGGATTAATAAACTATCTATCTATCTATCTATCTATTATTTATTTATTTATTTATTATATTATAATTGTTGATAATAAAGCAGCAATATATTCGGTCATTCAGGTATTAGGTCAAAAAGTAAGGTCAAATAAAAATAAACGTTTTTTAAAGCCCTATAAAAATATAAATTCTAGCAAAGATATTCCGAAATATTTTTTTTGGGTATTACACGAACTACACATTCGCCTGGTTTTGTCAATCTAGCTTATACATAGTATTTTCAAATTAAGGTCAAAAATATAAAAAAAAATATTTTTTTTAAATTTTAAAATAAATAAATAAATAAAATAATTATTTTATTTATTTATTTATTAAATATTAAACTGTAGCATAGTTTAACAAACCACTGGTACCGTCAAAACCATATTAATTTTTTAAGTAGTGCTTCTTAATCGTCCATTCCATTATATAATTCTTATTATTTTCAATATTCATTTCCACATATCCATTTTATAAACTTTGCTTTCAAATAACTTAAATTTATATTTTTGTACAGAAAATTTTGCTTGATGTTTCTGACATTTTATTTAAGTAAATAATGGTAGGTACTTAAATACAGCAAATTAATTTGATTAAAGACAAAATATTAATGGATGAACCATTTAAAAGTAATTTCTTAACACGTTAACGGCCACGGCGGTCCCAGGGGACCGCTAATAGTTTTTCCATCCAGGCCACGGCGGTCCCTAGGGACCGCCTGTCAATTTTTTGTTTAACAGTTTAACATGATTTTCTGGCCAGCGGACCGCTCGTATAAGGTATTTTAAAGCATGCATAGGACCGCTTGGCCCTTACGGCTGTCGAAGATACAAGAGTTTTTTAATTATTTATTTTTTAATCTGTATTTTGACGATTTTATTTTTTAAAATGATACAAGTAAAATATCAACTTGGCCCAATAAACAAAATCACCAATAACGCCGTGGCGTTTAACGTGTTAAGCATCAGTACACATTTATGTATATTATATTCATTATTATTATGCCTCTAATTAAATTAATAATTTTATTTAAAATACCATTATTTTTTATAATTTTATACCTTAATTTGTAAACAATCTGTATAACCTATAGCAACAAAACTAAGCAAAATTGTAGTTTATGTAATACCTAAAGAAATGACAGAATGTTTTTGCAAAATCTTTGCTAAAATTTATACAGAGTGATAAAACTTTTTGACCATACTTTATAAAGTTTTATTACAAAATAATCGTTTTATGGGTTTAGGTATGCCAAATTTAGAAACGCTATCTGTTTTTAAATTTAAAAAATGCCTAATTACTTTGGAAGTTTTTAGAGACCTTATTATATAGAAATGTTATTTTTTCGAAATATAGATTCGAGTACTACAAATTTTTTTTTTTTTTAAATAAATACCTAGTAACCTGTAAATCGGTTTTACCGGATTTCAAGTAGTGTTAGTTTGCAAATATTTAATAAATAAATTAACAGTTACATTAATTTATTAATTATTGTTAAATTATATTGAAACTTTTATTTTACCATATATGCAAATTCTCTTTTAATATATGTTTATGTAATAAAATAATTTATTTATTGAAAAACTTTTAAAAACATAAGCAAATAAATAATAATAATTAA